GTCACCCAAATTATTAAGATGGAAATTTCATTGCATTTGAACTTGGCCAAGAGGGTTGTTTGGTTTTTTTTTTTTTTAATTTTCTATTTTCCATTTTATTTTAATTCATTTTTAATATATAGATATTTCTTTCATTTACTTATTTTTTATTTTTATTCCTACCTTAATTTTTTTTTAATTTTTGATTTTCAATCCTATCTCTGTCCCTCTAATGTCTGTTCAGCTTACTGTCCATTAGTACACTAACACTCCCTGTTTATACCTTTGAAACTTTCTTATCTGAAACCTTGTTCTGCTTTCTCCCTCTTATCTGTGTATTTGTTTTCCCCTTTTCTTTAACTTCTTGCTTTCCATCTCAGCTCACTCTTCCATTCTCAATATTACCATTGTTATTATTACAAGCTAGAAAATACTTAATTACACACAGTACAGGGACAGTAACAACACCAAGGACAATGACAGGAAGACAGAAAAAACAGGGAAACCAGTTTCCCCACAGCAAAAAATTAGTACAGGAACCAGAGGGGAATGAAGAGAACAGAAACTCAGATCCAGACTCCAACAAAATGAAGATAAACCATGCCAAAGGACCCAATGAAACCCACAAGAATAATTTAAAAGAAGACATACTACAAGTATTCAATGAGAGTATGATACTGGATAGGGTCAACCAAAATGTACAGGAGACACTCAAGAAATTCCAAGACAACAAAAATAGAGAATTTGAAAAAGCCAAAGAAGAAAAAGGAAACCATAGAAGCACTGTATAAACACCAAAGTGAAAGAGAGAACACGATGAATAAATGGATAAATGAACTCAGGACAAAAATAGACAACATTAAAGAGGAAAACAGCCAGGATATGGAAAACCTCAGAAAAAAGAACGAAACAGAACTGCAAAACAAAACGGAAGGCCAATCCAGCAGAATAGAACAAACAGAAGACAGAATCTCAGAACTTGAAGATGAAATGCTAATTAAAGGAAAAACTGAAGAACTATTAATTAAACAACTCAAGACCTGTGAAAAGAAAATGCAAGAACTCACCGACTCCATCAAAAGACCAAACATGGGCATCGAAGAAGGAGAAGAGGTGCAAGTGAAGGGAATGCGTAATCTATTCAACAAAACAATAATGGAAAATTTCCCAAATCTAGAGAAAGATATTCCCATACAAATGCAAGAGGCCTCCAGGACACCAAACAGACCAGATCAAAATAGAACTACTCCATGACATATCATCATTAAAACAACAAGTTCAGAAACTAAGGAAAGAATATTGAAGGCTGCAAGAGAGAAAAAACAAGTAACATACAAAGGTAAACCCATCAAAATCACAGCAGACTTCTCAACAGAAACATTAAAAGCAAGAAGAGCGTGAGATGAGATCTTCCGGGCACTGAATGAAAATAACTTCAACCCCAGGATACTCTACCCAGCAAAACTATCATTCAAAATAGATGGCGCAATAAAAGTCTTCCATGATAAGCAAAAACTAAAACAATATGTGACCACAAAGCCACCATTACAAAGGATTCTTCAAGGGATTCTGCACACAGAAAGTGAAACCCAACTTAACCATGAAAAGACAGGCAGCATCAAACCGCAGGAAAAGAAAAAGCAAGACAGTAGAGAGTAACCTCAACTTAGGTACACACAATCAAACCTTCAAACAACTAAGACAACTAAATGACAGGAATCACCACACACCTATCAGTACTAACACTTAACGTTAACGTACTTAATTCACTCATCAAAAGGCACCGCTTGACGAAATGGATTACAGGAGATCCATCTCACCGACAGAAATAAGCATATGCTTAGGATGAAAGGCTGGAAGAAGATTTACCAAGCCAATGGCCCCCGAAAACAAGCAGGAGTAGCAATACTTATCTCTGACAAAGTAGACTTCAAACCTACATTGATCAAACGAGATAAAGAAGGACATTCCATACTAATAAAAGGGGAAATAGACCAAAAGGAAATAATAATCATCAACCTGTATGCACCCAATGTCAATGCACCCAATTTCATCAAACATACCCTGAAAGACCTAAAAGCATATATAAACGCCAACACAGTGGTTGTGGGATACTTTAACACCCCAATATCATCAATAGATAGGTCATCCAAACAAAAAATCAATAAAGAAATTAAAGACATAAAATATGCAATAGATCAAATGGACCTAGTGATGTCTACAGAACATTTCATCCAACTTCTACACAATATACATTCTTCTCAGCAGCCCATGGAACCTTCTCCAAAATAGATCATATCCTAGGGCACAAAGCAAGCCTCAGCAAATATAAGAAAATAGAAATATACCGTGCATACTATCTGATCACAATGCAGTAAAAGTAGAACTCAACAACAAAAGTAAAGACAAAAAACATGCAAACAGCTTGAAACTAAATAACTCATTACTTAATGAAGAATGGATCATCAATGCAATAAAAGAGGAAATTAAAAACTTCCTGGAAGTTAATGAAAATGAAAACACAACCTACCGGAACCTATGGGACACAGCTAAGGCAGTCTGAGAGGAAAGTTTATAGCCATGAGTGCATATATTAAAAAGACTGAAAGATCCCAAATCAATGACCTAATGATACATCTCAAACTCCTAGAATAACAAGAACAAGCAAATCCCAAAACAAATAGAAGGAGAGAAATAATAAAAATAAGAGCTGAAATCACCGAAATAGAAACCAAAAAAACCATACAAAGAATTAATGAAACAAAAAGTTGGTTCTTTGAAAAAATAAACAAGATCGATAGACCCCTGGCAAACCTGACTAAAATGAGGAGAGAAAAAACCCAAATTAGTAGAATCAGGAATGCAAAAGGGGAGATAACAACAAACACCATGGAAGTCCAGGAAATCATCAGAGACTACTTTGAGAACCTATATTCAAATAAATTTGAAAGTCCAGCAGCACAGCAACTAAGAGATAGCATAGATAAATGGGACCTCATAAAGATAAAAAGCTTCTGTTCATCAAAAGAAATGGTCTCTAAACTGAAGAGAACACCCACAGAGTGGGAGAAAATATTTGCCAGCTACACATCAGACAAAGGACTGATAACCAGAATATATAGGGAACTTAAAAAAACTAAATTCTCCCAAAACTAATGAACCAATAAAGAAATGGGCACGTGAACTAAACAGAACTTTCTCAAAAGAAGAAATTCAAATGGCCAAAAAACATGAAAAAAATTCTCACCATCTCTAGCAATAAAGGAAATGCAAATTAAAACCACGCTAAGATTCCACCTCACCCCTGTTAGAATAGCCATCATCAGCAACACCACCAACAACAGGAGTTGGTGAGGATGCGGGGAAAAAGGAACCCTCTTACACTGCTGGTGGGAATGTAGACTAGTACAACCACTCTGGAAAAAAATTTGGAGGCTACTTAAAAAGCTAAACATTGATCTACCATTTGATCCAGCAATACCACTCTTGGGGATATACCCAAAAGACTGTGACACAGGTTACTCCAGAGGCACCTGCACACCCATGTTTATTGCAGCACTATTCACAATAGCCAAGTTATGGAAACAGCCAAGATGCCCCACTACTAATGAATGGATTAAGAAAATGTGGTCTCTATACACAAAGGAATTTTATGCAGCCATGAAGAAGAACGAAATGTCATCTTTCGCTGGTAAATGGATGGAATTGGAGAACATCATTCTGAGTGAGGTTAGCCTGGCCCAAAAGACCAAAAATCATATGTTCTCCCTCATATGTGGACATTAGATCAAGGGCAAACACAACAATGGGATTGGACTTTGAGCACATGATAAAAGCGAGAGCACACAAGGGAGATATGAGGATAGGTAAGACACCTAAAAAATTAGCTAGCATTTGTTGCCCTTAACTCAGAGAAACTAAAGCAGATACCTTAAAAGCAACTGAGGTCAATAGGAAAAGGGGACCAGGAACTAGAGAAAAGGTTAGGTCAAAAAAATTAACATAGAAGGTAACACACACACACAGGAAATCAATGTGAGTCAACTCCCTGTATAGCTATCCTTATCTCAACCAGCAAAAACCCTTGTTCCTTCCTATTATTGCTTATACTCTCTCTACAACAAAATTAGAGATAAGGGCAAAATAGTTTCTGTTGGGTATTGAGGGGGTAGGGGGGGAGAGGGAGGGGGCGGAGTGGGTGGTAAGGGAGGGCGTGGGGGCAGGGGGGAGAAATGACCCAAGCCTTGTATGCACATATGAATAATAAAAAAAAAAGTAATTACAAAATAATTTGATTTTTTAGTGGAATGGTTCATAACATAAGCCATATAGTTTCTACCAAAAAAAAAAAATGACAGGTCAAAGAGAAAAGAACCAGTAACTTGGATGCACCCACACTTAAGGATGTAATATGATATATAGTTAAAAACTGGAGAAATGAAAACTGAATTTGTCTTCAGTTCATCAGGTATTTTAAACAGTGCTCTGCAAGTATGGAGGTGCTCTGGGGTCACCCAGGAAGAACAGAAAAGTCGGCAGGTAAGGGGGAAGTCAAGTGGTGAGATGATGGTCTAGAGTTCCCAGAACAGCACAGAGGCTCAAGTTTATGTCCATCATGGTCCACTCAGGTTCTATATAAAATTTTCTTTGAAGAAAATGTCATGTTTTTAAATTTTTAAAAATGATATTAGATGATTCTTTTTTAAAAGTCACTTTGACTTTTTATTAAATTGTCAACACACACCGAAGCTGGGATCCAAAGACAGCTTCATTTGGGTAGCTGAGGGTTGATACAACAGGTAATGCCAGTTTTGCACTATAGTCCACAGGCTAGATATACACCAATCTTCACTAGTGACATTAATGAAATATCACTACATAGTACTGACCCTGAGTCAATAAGGCACAAATAAGATAGACCTATCTGTACTTTTATAAATGGTAATAGTGTCTAGACAGTTCATTAGTAAGCTTTACCAATGGATGCTAATGAGACAGAATTTGTGGGATTTCATAAGTACCCTCGTGCCGGGATATTCATGTGTCTTGCAGACTTGACAACTTCCTCAAACCTTTCCAGACTCTCTTCAATGGAGCAGTTAATATTCTTCTTGCTGAAGGACTCAGAAGCAGCTCCAAAAACTGATATCTCAGTGGCTCCAGCAGCCACCTGAAAAACATAATTTAAAACCAGAAGCTAAAGTATTCCAAAGGGTAAACAATAGCAGGAGAAGATCAACTGCTCTGCAAAGATTGGCTTATGTTCTTTCAACATCTGCCTTACAACTTACAACTAGAATCTTCTCATCTGGCCACATGCACTCTTCTGCAATGGAAAATATTTTATAATAACACAATAATTCCACAAGCTGCAATACTTGTAAGTCAACAAGGCACAAAAAGCATGGTAGTGCTGTTCCAATTTAATTTTGCTTTTCAACGTGTGATCCTCAGAAATACTTTAGCCCTAATTATGGAAAATACTTGCACCCCATTAAAACTGTTATTCTCTATGGAAAACACTGTTTTCAAACTAATTATTGAAATGGAGGGTAGTAAATTATTTCTGTTTTCCTTCTCTTGCCACACTCCAGAAGAAAAGTGTTTTCCCAATTCATCATTGAGACTTTGCCCAAAGCTTCCCCGTTTCCTACCCTTCCTCCCATTGTATGACGTCCTGACTCCTATCTGGCCAGACTTCTGTGCATCCGAAGTATGCACAGAATACTAATATTCCTGCCAGTCTTTAAGTCTAAAATATTAATCTAAACATTTTTCTCCTTTGCCCTCTTTGTCATCTTTATTCCTTCCCCACAGGCTTCTCCAGACACCAAGTCCACTAGATTTCCAGGTGGACTTTTAAGGTCTTCTGTGAATGCGTCACTGCACTCTGCCTGGATTTCCCCTACCCTTGTCTCTGATTGCTACTAAGAAGAAAGGGGCTGAGTTGTTCAAAGGACACTGTACACAAGTATAAAATTATCTCAGCAGTGTCCCCTGGTATCATCAATGTATGCTAACTCAAAACTCAAATAAAACTTTTAGAAAAGAGAAAAATTCTATCATCCTTCTTCTAATATTTAAAAAAATGTTTTTTATTCCTCTATCCAAAATAAATTTTGAACCTGGAAAATAAGAATTGTGTTTATTGACTGCCTACTATTTGCCGGTACTCTTGTTAGAATTTTGCTTGCCATTATTAATCCTCACACAACCCCATAAACTAAGTTTTATATGCTCATTTTAGGGTTGAAAATACTGCAGTACAAAGAAGCCAGCTAGCCAGCACAATTTCGTATGGTAAGTAAAGTTATTGAGCTGCATTTCAAGGGTATTTCTTCCCGACCCCCAAGACAACGTTGACTCCGCGTTACTTGCCCTTCTACACTACGGTAAAAATGTCCTCTCAGTGTCTTTTCTAAGGTGGAGACACTCTCTACTTTGTTGGGACTGGATGACAGCAATATTTGCACATTCTTAAAGTATTTCTTTCAAAGCAATGAAAACTATATTAAATCAAACAAAAAGGAGACAAATTGTTCTAACAACACATAAACTGACAGGTAACACTCTAACTGCCACCCACATGCTCAGCTTTGGGCAATTTGGTCTCAAGCACAGAAGTGAGAAATGTCCGTTAATACTGGAAACTCCTACTGCACACTCTTTACAAAAAACCCACGTGAGCATAAGCAGCCAGAGTGTACTTAAACACGAGTGGCTCTTTTATAAGTGTAACCACAAAAGCTCTGATTTAAATCATAAATCCCCAAATGACACAGAATCAGAAGAAACAGACTAGCAGAAGAACAGAGGAAGTCATCAAAGACCGACACAACGACCTTGACTCACTTCAACTAGAGCAGGAAGTAACAGAAAGAAAACGCTGCTCCCAAAATGACAGCTAACACTGTTATTCATTTCAGTAATACCGCATCAAAACTCCTTTAAGCTATTCTCTATATTACCGGCTGAAGAAGAAATCACAAAATACACTTTCAAAAAATTTCATCAAGGACCCAGTGTGATGGTTCACATCTGTAATCCCAGGACTTGAGAGGTGGTTATCAGGAAGACTGCAATTTGAAGTGAGCCCAGGCAAAAGGTTACCAAGGTCCCATCTCAATCAATAAGCCAGGTGTAGGGGTGCATGCTGCAATCCAAGCTACACAAGAGGTGTCTATAGGAGGTTAGCCTACACAAAAATGTTTATCTGACAAATAACTTCAGCAAAAAATGACTGGCCAGGTGGAGGGTGGGGAGCTCATGTGGTAGAACTCTTGTGTACCAAGTGCAAGGTACAGAGTTCAAATGTAAGTACTCAAAAAAAATCATCAAAATGAAGAGTTGTATTTTTTCTGTTTTGAAGCCATTAATGTGGAGCATTTTAATTCTTAGCAGCACCAAGAGGATTCTGAACTCTATGCATTCATGTTAGTATATTAGTGGAGTATTTTTATAGGATGATAAGTGAGTTACATGACACCATTTTAGCTTTGTAAAGTTCTTCAAAACAATGAAAACATGTACATTTTAGGAATTAGTAGCACACTTACAGCACAGTGAAAACCCTGAAGATTAGGAGTGAGGACAGGGTAGCGAACGCCTGGATATCTCTGGATGCCTTTCATCACTTCGGTGTGGTCAGCCATCTTAAATACACAACAGTTATGTGTGAGTGTGGAACTGAACGCCAAGCATGGTAGACGGTTATCATTACATATGCAAAAGCATTCCATAAGTTAATGATCGAAATAGCAATCCGATGCCAACGCAGCTAAGGAAAGTCGTTCTCAGTGTTACTGTTGCATAATAAATAGACATGAGCTCAACTAGTTCACGTGATAGGATCTGGTTAAAGAATGACTCCTGCAAGTCAGGAATTCTACTCTTTCTCTTCCTGTCGCAAACTGTCTGATCTTCAAGCACTCCTGAGAGAGGCGAAAGTGGAAAAGTGATTTGCTATGCATTTACCTTCCACATAGAAACTTCACACCTAAGTAATTCCCAGTACATGAAACCTTACAATGATTATGAAAATGCATAGAATAGCTCAGCAAGGGTGACATCAGAGTGCTATCTCCTTAGCACAGGTGCCCCACAGAGTCAACGTCACGATGCTTTACACAATGACATCGCTGTATAGCTAGCAGCAAAGAAATGCATACAACTGACAGAGTACCCAGCACTAAACTCAACCCAGTCTGTCAAAACTTCATTTTCTGAATCTATGAAAAATCAATTTTGAATTAAAATATCAAATCCACAAAACCTGTAAATAACTTTCTTATAGCAACAATCAAAAATCAGGTTCCATATTCATGACATAGAAAAATGGACAGGCTATGAGGTTTGTTCATATAAAATAACAAAGAATGCAGGAATGATATATATGAAGACTCATGTGTAAACAGCAAAGTCTCTGAGATGAGCATGAAAACTGTAAAGACCCCTGGGAGATGGAAGGCTGTTGTTTATTCTTTATTCAGTGGCTTATTATAGTCAGCATGCCTTATTTTTAGTTTACAAAAGTAAATTAACTAAGCCATAAATGATTTTCTTAATACATACACACATTTTAAAACTATAAAACGTTACAATATTTACTCTGATTGGGCCATTGCTGTTATCCACTCTCAGCTAAATGCCAGGAGACTTAAACACTAAATATAATTAGAGTTAATTAAATTAAATTTTAGATACATTTAAATTTAAAATTAAATATTTAAGATGCAAATATTACTTCTGACTGCTGCTACACCTTACTAATAGTTAAACTTACTATTCTATTCAGTTCTAACATTTATTTGTACCTAATATGTAATTCTTGTGACCTAACATGTGTACAACCCTTCACTCCACTACTGCATGTGTTACCAGACTGCCCCAAATTCACTCACAGTGTGTGAAAGCTGCCCTTCCCACCCATTCTAAACTCACCTGAATGTAATCCAGATGTTTACTGAGCCTCTACTGTGCCCAAAGTCCTTCCTAGATCCTGTACAAATGCAAATGTGCAAACCATATGTTCTGTTAGAAAGTAAGGCCCGGCACTGAAATGATTTGCAGAATTACTTGGGGAGACAAAACCAACGCACATGGAGAGTAAAGAACTCAAAGGGAAACACAGCTGTTAACAGAGAGCACGGATGGCAAGAGTACAGAATGAGGAAATACTGACATGAACCTCTGTAATCTAGGGAAGCTTAAAAAAAGGCTTGCAGGAACCGAACTCCTTGACTGTGGAATATTACGATAGTATTTCCAGTCCTGTAGGCTCTTCCAAGCTCTCACCACTCTCTATCAAGAGAGGACTCTGTCTACCCTTCTTCTTAAAGGCCCTGAGTGTTTCAACCAATAGCAAACAGCAGAAGTAATTCTAGGTGACTTTGAAGCTAGGTTACAAAAAAGGAAATAGCTTCTATATCTCCTTTTGAGACAGCCACTGTGGAGACATCAGTTAACATGAGAAAGCCCAATGTCTCCTCTGCAGAGAAGTCACTAATACAGAAGAGCCTAAGTGAAGAGGGACTGGGCCCTCAACCAACAGCCAGTCACCCCTAGATCTCTGTCTGAATAGCCTTCCGAGAACTCTCACCTCCAGAATTCAAGTCACATAACTCAGACCCTAGACATGGTGGACCAAAGTCAACCTGTACCCCTGTGCCTTGCTCAAATTCTCAGGTCACAGAATTAGTGAACATGACTGATGTTGTCAGGGGATTCATTATACAATCATCAAATCTGGAAAACTGAAGAAATGGACGGCGCTGGGAAGGAGGGCAATGAGGGGAAGAAGTAGAGATGTGTTATTTGGCTGGAGAAGGGGACTGGCAAATACAGCATGATTATGAATGAAGGGGGAGCGTGCCCTGTGATGCAACGTTGAGTTACGCTCACCTTATGCTAAAGATCCCTGGTTTATCCTGAGGAAACACGAAGCATGGAGAATGGGTTATGTGAGCGAGGTACTGAGGTCACTCTAGGAAGAAGGGAGGTATTTCTCATGTAATTGGTCAGAATCCCCCTTGTGACGACAAGTTCTGTTGTAGTGGAACACCACTGGGAGAGGAACTCCTCCCAGTCCCCCAGAAATGAACTTGTGGATAATAGCACAAAGGAGATGTCTTTATTTAAAAGTGTGATCCTCACTATTTCATATCCCTCCTCTTCTGACACTTATCACTTGTACATATTTTAGCACGGTTCTGGATTACACAGCCATGAACTCAGCTTTGTGCCTGATGTTATTCAGAGTATTTTCTCTCTCTCTCTGTCTCTCTTTGTCTCTCAGACACACACACAAATGGGCATGCACATCCAAACTGTAACAAAATTAAAACACTAGTTTTAATATCATGCAGAAAGACAAGCAAAGAAACCACAAGTTTTAGCGTAATGTAATGAAATCAGAACAACATACGTGTACTAGAAAATAATGTTAATATTGCTAATGCTAATTAAATGTAGTAAGGTTAAGTATTATTAGGGACATTTATATTATAATGATGACAGAAGTGACTGACCCTTACCAAATACAGATCAGAATAAAGTGTAGCAATACATCAGAAATTGCATAAAGGACAAAAAACTTACTTTAACCTACATGAAATATAGGTCATGTTGGTCTATAAGGGGTTCCTTCATTCTATATACAATTTAATGAAAATCTTGAACCAATGTAAAGAACATTGTATAATCAAACAAACAGTAATTTGTTTCATTAGATGTTTTAAAATTAGAAAATAGATAGTAACCAAATTTCCAGGTTGTAAAAGCTGAATTTTAAAAATCATTGAAGATATCTTAATGAAATCATAATAAATACATGAAGTAAACTCCAAACAAAGGTACTTTTCATTTTTTAAAATAGTGAACTTACTGGCTCTAAGCAATTGGTGTCACGTTGTGTCAGACACCATGACGTCTACAGCCAAGAATAGCCATGCATCATGGGAGCCCTGTTAGACTCTGGGCTCGGCTGAGAACCCAGAACAGTTTGCATCTAAGCCCTAGAAGATTCAGAGCTTTCCAAATACCCATTTCCTCTTAACAGGTCATCAAGTTCCTACAGAAGTGCTCCCGGCTCACTATATTTGCAGTCCTACTCCAGGCTGCTTCACCTCTGACTCTTTATATCACTCCATCTACCTAAAAATGATTCTTGCTTTTTATCAGGTTAATTGATTTCATCTTCCAATTTTAAACTCAAAATCTTCTTTTCTAAGACATTCTCAACAACCAGCTTGATTTAATGTTTCCATGCGTCCATAGCTCAGTTGTGTATGTCTATCAATGCTATCCTTGACTAAATCATTAACTCCTTAAACACTTTGTGTAAAAGGAGCATTTAATAAACAACTGTTGAACTGAACCATCATTTCTCCTCCTTGATTAGAGCCTTTATTTTAGATTTGAATTCAATCCTCTTTGAATTGTGATTTTTGGCCACCGATTTCGTAAATATCTTTGTTGTCAATACTCATGATGGTAATAATGAAAGCACATTTACTTTATTCAGACCTATAGGTTAAGTCTAGCTGTGCTGAGTCCTTTATGTGTTATTATCTCTTTCCACATTTTTAACTACACAACGAGAAAGATGACTTCTGAAGAAGAATTAGATTAGAGGTGTCAAGGAAGAGGAAGCTCTCGCTAGAGTGGAAAGCTGGGCTGGACTCAAGTCTGTCTTGATTGTAACCCCCATTCTCCATTGAACATCTTCTTGATAAATGGGTTGTCCTTATGGTCTGCCTCTCTTCTATCTCTTTATCTTAGTTATTGCTAAAGATTTCCTACATTGCATTGTCAAGGGCAGAGCTCACAGAAGGAACTCAGGATGAATTCTTTAGGACATGTTATGTCATCTAACCCAGGATCTACCCAACTGGACTTATCATCAGAATCGCGTAAGGGATTTTTTAGACATGTTCGTGGACCCATTTGTACAGATTCTCATTCTGTACTGTTGTTGGAACCAGAAATCTGCAGTTGCCAAACTCCAGAGGTGCTAGACATCACCAGGGTTTAGAATCACTTCAGATTCAGCCTCGGGCTTAAGGCAGACCAAGTCAGAGCACTGGGACCTCTGCTCTCACTTCAGTTAAGCAAGCCTAACTTTCATTTGGTTTTACAGGCTTGTGGTAATTGCAATTTGGAAGGAGGAAGCCTCTTTAAAAAGTATTAAAACATCTAACTTTTGAAAATTTCATTAAAACATGTGATTAAGTAATCATATTAATGGGACCTCTTCTAGGGCCTTGGGAGGAGCCTAAGTCAATATTTTCCTGTCTATACCACCCACTGAGATTCTACATAATGTTTTATACAGAGTAAAAAAAATGTTTCACTGATGAAAAGTAATAAAGTTTGGAAATTACCAGTGCTGGTGAAATTTCTTATCTCTCTTCTCAACATCATCAGGATAGAGGAACTTCTTGAGTAGGAATTATAGTATCTATAGTGGCCTTTCTTCCTTAATACTCAGAAATATGATCAACAAGCAAGTAAGGTCAGTTGGGTATGTCTTATTCCTAGTATATCCATAATATTTCTAAGTATATCTGTAGTTCTAAGTTCTCTGGTTAGTAAACTATCTTTTGGGAGGGTACAGGGACAGGGAGGAGGGGACTGGAGTCTGAACTCAGGGCTT